GTCTCAGATGTACAGAAAGCAGCAGTTCAGCTATGTTAGTAACTGAGAATGGAAGCACAGGTGCTGATGCACCTATTATTGCAGCTCCAGCAGATGATTCCGTCACAAGTTTAAATAAGGAAGACTATCAGAATAAGCCGTTGCTTCCTCATGGTTTGAAGAATACAGGAAATATATGCTTCCTGAATGCAACTTTGCAGGCTTCCCTTTCATGCTTCCCTTTTGTTCAGCTTGTACAAGGCCTGAGGAACCGGAGTATACCTAAGGTACTACTACCTAAATTAATCAGTTCAATGTCCTCTCTGCTGATTTCATTGGCTTTTGTTCTGACTACTGCTAATTTTAGGCTGGCTACCCTACTCTGAGTGCATTCATTGAGCTCGTCTCTCAGTTTGATGTACTTGACGAGTCTACTATGAAAGACGAGAGGTTTGCTTTAGTCGCTGCAAAAGTAATCAATCCTACCATGTTCGATCAAGTTCTGAGAAATTTTACTCCAGATGTACCGGCTGGAACATCTGCTCGGCCAAGGTAAGTTGACGCTGTTCTTGGTTATTAATTTTTGAAGTGAAATTAATGAAATGTGATGCTAATTTTGGGCTGTCATAGGCACTACTTGAGAATAGCATTCTTTTTTCCTGTTTGTGCTTATTTTTGCCTTTTTGGCATCTTTTTGTATAGCAAGACATGGATCCCATCAGTATCATAATATATCCTGTTTGTCCTTTACTAGAATCCTAATTTGACATTGAAACTATAACTAATGCTTATGAGCATGATGAACTTCACTAGAATCAGAAGCTTCCCAGTAATATCTTATTCTTGAAACTTATGGAACATTGAACTGAGATAGATGCCATCTTAGGCTATTAGCTTGAAATTGGTTCAAACAATATATTTTGCTGTATTGAATGCATGGACATTATGCATGCTGGTCTGATTTTGTGTTACTGTAAATATCATGTGTTAAAATTTATTTTCCTAGTAACATGGCTTCTTAATTCAGTTTATGATGCTTTGCATTTCTGCAGACAAGAAGATGCCCAAGAGTTCCTAAGTTTTGCCATGGATAGAATGCATGATGAACTGTTGAGGCTTAATGGCAATGGTTCAAATTCAAAGGAAGGTATGGTTGTTTCTTCTGATGATGACGATGCCTGGGAGACTGTAGGTAGGAAGAACAAATCTGCAATCATGAGGACACAGAGTTTTGTTCCCTCCGATCTAAGTGCTATTTTTGGAGGCAAGCTACAAAGTGTAGTGAAAGCTGCAGGTAACTGTTTCTTGTGCTGAGAAATTTCAGTTCTTTCCTTTTAACTCTGATCTATCAACTAGATGCCCTTTTGGGAAGGTTTTATCTCCTGATTCTAGCTATATTTGTGCTCGTGTAAAGTTTTCCCTGGAAATACTAGTAACTTAGCTTGTAATAGAAACGATGTTCCCTAAACATGCAGAAGTGCTGTCAAGGAAAAGACATTTTTGCTTATCCTTGAACTTTAAATAAAAACACGTCAACTGTTCATTTGTGCAAAGAAGTTTCTTATCATTGTTGTCAGAAATCCTGCATTAGATTTGTGTCGGTTATCTGAAGCAAATTCTCACTGTAAATTGAAATCATTAGCGTTGTTTGGTAAAAAATGAGGGAGTTTTAGTTATGCAGTTTCTTACCCTCATTTTGTATCTTCTTTTCGGATCCATTCATTATAGGTAACAAAGCATCAGCAACCGTTCAGCCTTTCCTGCTGCTCCATCTTGATATATTTCCAGATGCTGTTCAAACGCTTGACGATGCACTTCATCTGTTTTCCACCCCTGAATCTTTGGAAGGATACAGAACAACTGCTGGAAAGGTTCTTACCGAAATCTGTGCTCAGTAGTTTTGACTCCTGAATTTTGCAATTACTTAGCTCGTCAGAGAATTTGCTTACATTATTTCAGAATTATATTACATATAAGGGACATCATGCATTCTGCATTAGCGCCATTCATCTCTGATGCATTATATTATAAACTACTCCCTCCATTCCTAAATATAAGACCTTTTAGAGATTCCACTATGAACTAGTACATACGGATGTATATAGACATACTCCCTCCGTCTGAAAATACTCGTCATCAAAATGGATAAAAAAAGATGTATCTAGAACTAAAATACATCTAGATACATCTCCTTTTATTCATTTTGATGACAAGTATTTCCGGACGGAGGGAGTACTTTATAGTGTAGATTCACTCATTTTGCACCGTACATAGTCTATAGTGGAATCCCTGAAAGGTCTTATATTTAGAACAGAGGGAGTACCTGATTAGTTGGTTGGTTGCCTTCTTTGATCTAGATCTTAGTACTCTGTTGATACCGCTATAATCTGAAACTAGGTTGTTGAACTATACCTATGTACTGTACACCTCAGTGCAACAGTATGGTTCTCTTCACAATTATCCTTTTGAAATTAGCTATAATATTGACTGATGAAACTTGATCTTGCAGGCCGGAGTGGTGACAGCTAGGAAATCATTCAAGATACATGAACTTTCAAAGATAATGATACTGCACTTGAAGAGGTTCAGTTATGGAAATCGTGGGTGTACTAAACTGTACAAGCCACTCCACTTCCCTCTTGAACTGGTCCTCAATCGGGATCTGCTGAGCTCACCATCATCAGAGGTGATAATTTCCTTGACACTCAATTTTATTATTGCCAATATAGTTGGTATATCTACTATTTGGTCAATTATGCTTTTATCATCTTGTCTTCTTTATCCTTGATGACTGTGCGGGATTAGACTTCTTTATAAGTTTGTACAGCCCTTTGTAAAATCAGATGTAACAGCTGTTTCTTGGTTATTACACATTGATTACTTAATCTAACATCTCGCCTTTGGTCGAGTGCAGGGTAGAAGATACGAGCTCGTTGCAACCATCACTCATCACGGGAGCGGCCCGTCCAGGGGCCATTACACCGCTGATGCAAAGCGTGACGGTGGGCAGTGGCTTCGGTTCGATGACGGCCATGTCATGCCCATCAACGTGAACAAGGTCTTGCATAACCCAGCGTATATCCTGTTCTACAAGCAAGTTTAAGTCTGGTGTTACCATGCGGTTGATCGCACCCTTCCTCTCATTGCTGGAACAGTGAGTTATACTGTCTAACTATGGTTGTGTTAAATGGTAGCTGCCGTGTAACCGCAGAATCGAGTGTGTCAAGTACCCTGGTTGCGTGACCCTATTTATATATATGCCTGGTAACGTAGTGATGAGGGGGGTGGGCATTCCCGCTCAGCCCATTTTTGAGGTCCTGTAAAATGCACCTGCTCATCTTGGTAACCATGAGGTTGCTATTCATCCTTTGTGCTCGTGTTATGGCGATGTGATGTGTGCACTTCTTTACATTTTAGGCGACCTAATTGAAAGTGGCCAGTCTTCGGCTGCCTCACTCACGATTGGATGACCGACCATGCGCCATTTCTTCTTGAAATGCCGGCATCTGGGTTTTGTCGATCTCAAAGCTTTAGCAACCAAAGAGAGCCATTTCTTCTCGAAAAGCTGGTATCTGGTTTTTGTTGATCTCATACCTTTTAGCAACCAAAGAGAAAGAACAGTTGCAAGAGTCACTGGTCAATTTGGCAAAGCTTGAAAGCATTTCCATTTCAAGGTGTTGAATCCTGGTCATCAGTTCTTCCAGCAGCCAAACGTCAGTGCTTTATTATTTGACGTATGGCATGTATAGAAGACTTTGAACAACGACCTCTCTCCATACGTGCAGACCACTAACCCATTCAAACTAGTATCCACTTGCGCTGTGCTCGGCTGGGTGGCTTGACCTTGGTACTACCTGACAGTTGATATCTCGTGACGGCCAGTGTTCTCCTTCCTGCTGCTTATTGCTTTCCTTCCACTTCAGACAACCATACATTGACACATGCACTCTTGCAGCATCTTAACTTGTAAGAAGGCATTGTACAATGCAAGGCGTTCAGCGGAGGTGCTTAGATAAATAAACCACTGTTTCTTTGAGCACCGGTGCTTATTTGCATAGGGTAGACGATTAATTAGACGTCTCATGTAAAATTAGGCACTGGTGCCAGAAAAACAAGGTTTACAAGGCCTATTGGTGGCAGATGATCAAGTAGCATGCCTGTATTTCCAAGTTCCGATGCGTGTGATGAACCGCTCAGTCAGAAAGAGAGGCACGGAGAATGCAGAGCCCTGTTTGTTTCAGCTTCAATTGGCTTCAAATCATATGCGGGTTCGCTTCGCAACTGAAGTAAACTTGGACATGCTTCAGGCAATTGCACCGAGAATGGTCCGAATCCAGATTGATTTTTCCTACTAGAATCTTCTCTCTAAAGCTGAAACAAACAAGGCCTCTGTATCGGAGATCAATCTAAAAGCAGCTTCTTGTTTGCCCTCTACTACCTGTTGTACACAGGTATCTTGCTCAACAAAGGTGTTTTCCTCTTATGCGCAGAGGACAGAGCGATCTCTGCCGGATACCTTCTTGATCAATCCACTTCCAATTTAAGCTCTTGATGGCAAATCGGACCAAGGGATCTCCCTCGGAAACCTTCTTGATCAATCACTTCCATGCTAAGCTCTCCATGACAAAATCAGACAGTGATCTCTCTCCTTCTATTTTAAGCCCTTCATGGCAATCACAGACAGTGAAGAATCATGCACAAAATCAGGAAAAAAACACAGTGGAAGCAAAGCCAAAAGAGAGAAGCACTTGAGAAAAGGTCCAGCGTTGGACCTGATTACCATCTCATCATATTACACATGATCTTTTTTTTTGGCTTTTGTTCTTGACCCATTTCTGGACACGGGAGGAGGGAAGGGAGATCACTAGCTAGCAAGCAGGGGCCTGCAGTTTGTTTTCCCCTTCATTTTTCAGCTGTATACACAGATGCAGGGAGAGACTAGACTGAACCCGACTGAACTGAACTCAAGGTTACACTACACAGCAGCAGCGGCGGCGGCCAAGGGCCGGCCCGTTTAGCTTCTAGCGCGGCTGGTGGATGGCGCGGCGGGCGCCGCCGCCGGCCCTGGGGCCGACGTGCTGCGCCGGCTTCTCGGCGTGCCTCATCGGCGCCCAGGCTGGCGCCGGGCCGCCGCCCCTCGGCGAGTTCACGCTCAGCGTCTTCAGCACCGCGTCCATGTCGCCGCCGAACCCTGCAAATTCAGAGCGATCAAGTTCGCTGGTCAGCTTCCGGCTGCTGCTATACTACCTCTGCCCCGGTGAGGAGGAGGAGATGGACAGACGGTGGGAGGTGTACCGTACCTGCTGGTTTGTAGTGGTAGAAGTCGGGCTGGGGCTGGGGCGACGGCGGGGAGTAGAAGAGGTCGTCGGCGTCGAGCAGGTCGACGGAGTCGTCGGGGAGGAGGGCGGCGACGTCGTCCACGTCGACGTCGTCGGCGAGGTCCTCGTAGAGCTGGTGCTGGCGGAACCAGTGGTCGCGGAACCAGGCGGTGGTCTTGACCAGCTCCCACCACTCGGGCGAGTAGTCCTCCACCTTCTTGAACGCCGCCGGGATGAACATGGGCGCGTCCGGGTTCAGCGCCGACATCGCCATGGTGCTCATGATCACCTCACTACACGCAGAAGCAAACCAATCAGCTTCCGATCATCATATCGATCGGTACTGTAACCACGCCATGGCCACCACAGATCTGTGCATCGCGGCCAATTCCCGGCGTTCTTGCTTACCTTTTCTCTGCCGTTCGTCGGTCGTCGGGGCGGACGAAATATCTCTCGTGGTTATCTGGGTGGAGACGGGTGGGA